GACAGCTCAGTAACTTCGGGAAGCTGTTGCAATGCATCTTTTAGCTTTTATAATGCATGATAATAAAAAGTTTTTGGTCCATTCTTACTCATTTCTCAAGTCGGTCGGTTGTAACCAAAAGCTTGAAAGCCGCTTTCCACCGAATGATAACTTTTCAACCGTTTTAAGATTTTTTAAAATGCAATAAAACTACGAATATAATATCGTCTTAACAAATTGAGACAAACATTACTTCAAGAATACTAAACTATACATTATAGCTATTTACGGGAAAACGCTATCCAGTGGATTACGCGATCAGGCCTTCGTATTACCGCTGTCACAGGAGGATACTATACAAGTCTATAATTTTCTTTCCTCAACCGAGAGATATAACCCTTCGGTATGGACTGACATTTTGTAACACATGCATACATAACAACTCCCACGTCCCTCCTGCATTTTGAAAGTCCCTTCAAAGCTCTAAAATTTTATAGTGGGTCAAAAAATAGGGTATAAGCAGCGTGCAAATCAAGTGAAGAATGTTGGAACGTTGAAATAAAAAAGTTCGGCTAGAAGAAAGCCTCTTGGGTGAAAGAAAGCCTCTTAAATGAAAGAAATGTACATATATAGTTGAATTTTCTGTTCCATGACAACAGGACTAACCGGCAAGCTTTCATTTCATTGATACATAAGATGTATCTCTGATTATCTCGGTCGCAAACGATAAGCCAAAGACGAAACAACCAGAAGAATGAGGTGATAATAAACCGCAAACCACGTGACTCGTTAAATAATCGTGCATATACGTAGATCACCGACGATGTTCCGATGATTTCCGAAAACCACGACAGCTGGAACGAGAGACTTTCTTACGTACGCAACTCATCGAACTTTGAACACAGCCATATTCGGTAAAGATGATAGGACTGAAATGCCGACTTTGTGTGCAAATGGATGGTAAATAGCTAGGCTTGTACTAAAAACGAAATGAACCCATGTCTTGGGTGCGGGTGTAATATTAATACAATCGGAAACGAAAATTTAGCGAGGGAATCGAAGCCAGTGCTTTTAATATTCTTGTAATTTTGCATATTGCGAATAACAATATAACATTAACAGTCAATTTGTAGGTACACAACGAACATTTATTATTGCAAAGCTTGGTACCTTAACCATCAAACTGATAGTTATACAGTGTGTTTTACTTTTTCGAGATTTCAACCGGAATAATTAATATTGAAAGTTGTGTTTTGTATGAAAATTAGGCTATCGTGAAAACTCTATTTCGCGGGCTAATTATGGACTATAGTGATTTCAAAACTATTTGAAAAAGGAATTTCATTTATAAATGATACCTGTTTAATAGCGGATGTTGTTTTATTTTCAAATTATTCATCTTTTAGCTATCAAAGTCCTAAAAAAGTGACAATTTCCTATAGCTTCAGGTTGGTATAAACAGCACGACATTTAAGGTCAAGTATTTCAGCTCCAAGTCAGAAAAACTATTTGGCTCTAGGCAAATATGGGCATCGTATGTTTATCACAAGTTATCGTTCCAAGTACCTTGCTACATAATGCTGACACTTAGGTCTTTGCTGTTCGCATTTAAGTTGATAAGGATCGATTAAATACATGACAGGCTACAAAAAACCTGTCAACGTGCAATGCCTGTGATATGGTCTTTACAAATGGCAAAATTGTCAGTCTTAGAGACGTTTCTCTGCGTGTTTGAATCGATTACGTTAGTAAATTCGAAGCTTTTAATGTTTTCACAACAATATAGAGTGAGGATTGATTTAGCTTTTGACGAACATTTGTGTCCGCAAACCAACAGAAGTCTTCCGAGTTAGAAAAAGCGAGTTGTCCCCGTGCGAAAGAACTTGTTTACATTGCTTTATAAGCTTATATTTAATTACTAACTTTGCAAGGAATTCGGATTTCAAGGTCGACATGGATATGCCGCCATCTTTTTTTTATAAATTTGAAAAATTGCTTCCGGCTAAAAGTGTGAAAAGCTTTACAAGAAAGAGAACGGAAATAATTAAGTTGATCCCACTATGGAGATCCTTGTGTAAAAAATACCCTCTCAGTCCGAGATCGAATTAAAATTCATCAAAGATTAGTTGAAAAGACTAACAAGATTCATAAGTCGTCACGTCTAGAAGCTCTTCGGTGTTCTTTTCTTTATTTACCCCCCTCGGTAATAACCCCCCAAGACATTTTTTAAGCCTCACCTCTCTACAAAGTTCACTCAAAGAGGTGGGACAAGAATAACACCTCTTGTGGAGAATACGTGCTTTCAATTTTTGAAATAAAAGGAAGCTTTAGCACAGAGTAAACAATGGATACAGCGCTGGACTAGGTGGCGAATAGTAATTAAATATGGCATTTTTTGTACCCGCTTTTATTTTAGTGCGCGTGAGCATAAAGTGACCAACTGCGCATGCTCGGAAGGTGCCTGAAATGTTCAAAATGGCATGGATTTCTTGCTCAAATATTTTTGATTAATTTGAAGTGAGTTTTTGAACGTTCGAGACAGACGTATAGGGTAAGTTATCCAAAAATGTCTAGAACTATATTGCTGACAGCAGGGGTAAAATATCAAAAAACGTATGATTCAGGCAGAGATTTTTCTTAGGTGCAATGATAATTCATCTGTGCCGTGATAAGTAAGATTTGTGCAATGATAAACTAATTTATCATTTTAATTTAAACACTTTGCACACATCGTTGTACATAAAAATGGATACACAGTCTAATATCCAATTCGAAATTTTTGGAATAAAGTCGAAAATTTACATTCTCAAACTTGCCTTTGCTTGTCTTGTCTTTTCGGAATTGTTTTACTTTTTTTAAAATTGTCGACTGTTCATAGTTACTGATCTTCCTACTTTAATTTTAAAAGCTTTCGAAATCACTCCTTCGTGCCCCAAAACAACTTTACTGTGCTCTTCAGTTATTTGATTGTCGAAGGAGCAAAATTATCATCAATGGCATTCTTACCAACCAAATGTTACACATATCTGCAGATGATGGGGTCAAAGACAAGCTAATAAGGGATTGATTAAAGATAAATTCATTTCACTAATTGAAGATTACTTGACAATACTGTATTTAAGCTTATATTTACAACTTGATACTTTTGTTGATTGGTGCATCCTTTAAACCTATATATAATAGAAATATTATTCGCAAAGCATTCGTTAATTGGATTCTTCTGTTATAAAAGCCTTTGGCATCTGTAAAGCCATTTGCCACGTGCAGCAATTGATATGTCGCAAGCTTAAATATGACTTGGGTAGAGTGAAATTAAGACTGAAAAAAGTGTCTAAATTTCATATTCTCATATTCTTCATGCTCAAATTTAAGCCTCAATTAGGGAAGGACCGTTTGGCGGTTAAATTTTGAAGGACGAGGGGGCATGATCCCAAGTGAGATATGTGGGAATCTCCGAAATAGAATTTTCAGTGCAGAGCCCGGATTGTCCACACTTGTTTTGTATTACAGATCCTGCCAAAAAGTGTTTTAGCTTTTTAAGCTTATAAGCTTTTATCCTTTGGGGAGTTTAGTGTGCCAACTGCCCAGGCTAGCTCAGAGCCGAGCTTTTTCCGAAAACTGGGAAACTTAATGGCCACAAACAGCATTCACTAATACGTCCCTCCTGAAATCAGTTTTCAAAAATAGTTTAAACCAGTCCTTGCAATCCCCCAGAGGTTGATTTTGGCTCAAAGTAACGTGTTAATGTAGCCTTGTTCATCTGCATAATACACCTGCTATATTTTAATATATAGACGTTTTTGTAAAATGGAATTGAGCTCACGAGAAATGCCGGGATCTTAGTCTTAGCCCATATGGAACTGATTATATTGAGATGAACGTATTGTATTATGAATTATATTGCATTACTTTAAGTCGATGTAGCTGGAAATACAGCAAAGATAAACTGATTACGCCACATGTTTCTTGTAATGCCGGCACTCATGCTAGCACTCATCAGGTAAACATCACGCACACAAATTCTCGTGTATTCCCGATGATAAGGTGACCAACAATTGTCTCGAAGTACTGATATGGCTGGAGAAGTGGCTTGCATCTCTTCTGATTACAATCAGTTCACTTTTATCAACTCACGTCAAGCGTCTCTTTATTGGTTAGGACAAGTAACCACAATTTACATCATGCGATAACGCTAAGAGACCTGACCTGGCTGACCAAATGTATTATCTGCTGTCCCATATCTTTTGGTCAGACTTTGCACCGCGATCTTCAATCGTGCACGAATTCCCGGTCACAAGAAGATGTCAAGATATGGATTGTTTAGCAGGAGTGGCGCCAGAGAGGTGGAGAGGGGGTACAACAGATATAATTTGATTTTCGATAGTTCAGCTTCCAGCCCCTGTGTCGGGGACCTTAGCCCCTGTGTCGGGGAAATCTCGGCGCCACCCCTGGACTTTAGCTTATGACTTGACCTGAGTTGTCCATCTTTTTTCTTCTCTAGTCTCGTGTTTGTCTTCTGTATCGGGTTTCCCAGTAGGAATCCGAAATTGACAGAGAACAGAGCGGATCTGTGTTCAAATATGATGTTTAATTAGCGTTTCCTAAATTTATACTCTTATTATCTGCGTATAAGAATCTTATTGTTGAGCATTTGTTAGTGAATTGTCAATTTTTGTCTCGTTGGGTAATGTCTTCATTAGTATGACGTCATTAGCATGGCTATGTCCACACTTTGTTTTTAGCCCAGGCCACATGACGTCATAAAATATCATCATCATCAATCGCCAATCGAAAAAATCAATCTACACTCTACTCTAACTTTACTTCAGGTTTTCAAGATAACAAATAGATTCAATTTACTTATTTCTTGCTAATCTCTTATTCATTTTGAATGTCTTTGGAAATTGGAAAACCAGTGTTATAAATAATCACATCGATCCTGTGGCTTCCTGTCTTATCCTATTATTTGACTATAATTTCCTTAAATATCCCTCCGTATCCCCGAAGTTCTTGTTCTCGTTTTCAAGATGGCGTACATTAGCCGGAGATTTGCTTCGCAGTTGAGTTCGGGACAACGCATGTTTAACGCATTTCGCGAGTGGTATGTGAATGCTTGTGGCTATAGACAACTAGGTGAGCGTTTAGAAAATATATTTGTGTTAAATTTGTGTTAAATACCTAAGAAAATACCCGTTTTCTAAGCAAGTTTAACCAGTAATTTGTGACCATTTTGTCAGAGTTGAAAAATCGTAAATTGTCTATGTTAAATAGCGAAAAATTTAGCTTCAATCGGATATAATCACATGCATAAACAAGATATGTAAGAACACTTTATGTTCACGAAGTCTTTTGAGAACTGTTTTCAAACATCTTTCATGTAATTTAAATAGAATTATTTTATGGAAAATATATCTGCAATTTCTTCATGACATACATGACATATAAACGTATAAACTATAGATATATTCGTATAGTTGACCAATATCATAATAATAGTCATAATTCCAATGCTATTCATAACAATATGTCATTCAATGAAGAATTTTTTATCCACCAGGTTTGCGTAAAGATGATCTCATGAACGAAGAAGACACACCAGAATTGACTGAAGCTGTCCGACGTTTGCCTGAGGAGGAACAGAACTTAAGACTGTTCCGCATAAAGAGGGCCCTAGACCTCTCTATGAAGCATCAGCTGCTTCCTAAAGAGGAATGGACCAAGCCAGAGGAGGTATATTATGTGATGCCCAACACTACCAATCTCTGCACATGACTGCCTTTATTTAAATTAGTTAGAAAATACTATAGTCTACTTTAGGTAACTCCAGTGTAAAAGCTAGACATTCACATAAAAGTATCAGTCCAACTGTGGACGAGGTGATTTACGGTCAGTGAAGAAAAGAAAAGAGAGGCTTTGTTTACATTTTTGAACTGCAATTTTTCAACATACTGAATACTGTATCTTACACAATATTGGTTTAGTATTCATCCAAATATAAACTAGCTATGTCATGTCTAGTAGGCTGTTGCGGTATATCGTAATATTTGACTAGGACAAAAAAATTGTCTAGAGAGAAATGCAATTTTGGAAATTTGATTAAAATTTAAATCTTAAAGCCTCTCATTTTTGAGTGCAGAACAATCCTTAAAAATTGCTGTAACCTTATCATTCCCTATTTAAGAATGCTATCCAACCAAACAAGTTCATGAAACATATTCTGTTTTTATTTCCTGAAGATTCATTTTACATTGGTTTGGGGAAGGTATACCCTCAAATGTGAAGACCCTGTTGGGTTTAGGGGATCTAGAGTCAGGTTTTGCACAGTATTGAGCTTACCTTTTGTGCAGAGTTGAACTACAGTTGGTGTTTTTTTAGGATGTAGAATATCTGTCGCCAATTCTCGACAGTGTCATTGAAGAAAGAAAGGAAAGAGAACGATGGAATTGGAAATAAACTTCTTATTCTTAGACAAAAATTGGTGTTAAATCCCATGGAAGAGAAAAATTTGTAGTTTGACTTTTGACATAATTGCAACAAAGTTATATTTAAACAAGTTTTAAATAGTTAAATATATGATTAGTACTTTTGTTTTCTGCTTTTTAGTGTGACTTATTCAAGTTTTAGCGGCTTTATTCTTTTTTGCGGGGTTTAAACAGATGCAATAATGTTAGTCAAACAAAATGCGTTTGTATGTGTATTTGTTAAAACGTGTTAAAAACTTAAAATGGGAATAGAAAGGCATGTTTAATTTTCTTGGGTTTTTTGAATGAGCTCATTACTTAAGGATAATAAGCAGCAAGCACCTTACAGAGTTAGTATAACTTGCATGGCTGGTGAGGCCGTGAAGGCAATTGGCTTTAGATCAAAACGTCGTATTATTTTAGTAGTTATATTTTAGTAGTTATATTTTACGTATACTTTATCATATATGACAAGTTATGAGCAAAACGGTTACAGAAATCAACGAAATGAAATAGCGATTTACATTTAAATATCAAAAAGACTATAGTATTTCAGATTTAAAAACATCGCATGAATTAGGTTGTTTTTAACTGGGCTTTGATATGTTCAATCGGCAAAACATTCTAAAGACTAAAATCCAAACAAATGCCGACGACTAGACAAACTGGCGCCAACTAGAAAAATGGCTTCCAAAATATGTAACAAAACTACGGAGTTTGCTTTTTATTTATTCGTACATAAAATTGGTAAAAAAATTATATTATATAAGAATCTGATTTATCCTGCGATAGTCCAGGTTCGTTCAGTCACTTGCGCTTTCATACCTTCGGAATACAAAAAGTCCTCCCGCAGTTGGAATTTCTAATTTTTGTTCTAATTATTCTTTGT